AGACTCGTTGGAACCGTGCTGGGACGCAGGCTTTGGAAGTACTCCGGTAACAGCTGAGGAACGGAGGAAATGAAGGAGACTCATGGCTGCACTGTTTTTTATGTGTCCCCCTTCTCCCCCACCCCTGTTCTCCAGGCAGCCCACCTCCTGTTTACTCTCTGGAGTCTAATTAAGCTTGTTTTAAAATTTATATTACTATTATGTCCAGTGGTTATTGGTTGTGATAGAGAACTCAGAAAAGCGAGGCTGCTCCATATCAGCAGAAGAGGGAATTACAAATGACTTTTGAATATTGCACATAGAAACTCTAGTTGCTGCAGCTTCAGGAGCGAGCTGGGGAATGTCTTTGACAGTAAATGCACCGTCACTTTGGTTTCGGCAGTTTTACTCTTGACATTTGGCCACTATGAACGTGAGTCGTTGAGGTTCCGTGCCCCAGGGTGTCCGGTGGGTGTTGTTACAGCCAGCGCTGATGGCTGGGATCCTGTGAGTAGTCATTGATTGACCTGGGGGCGCTCACTAGGTGCCAACAAGGGAGGAAGGGAAGGGCCGGTTCTATGTTAAATTTGAACATATTTTGGTAAAAGAACTCTCGGTGGCAGGACACATCTATTTTTCTGTATCTGCATAACACCCTTCAAAAATAGGACTGGAAGAAAGATATCAAGTTGATTATCTGAGGCAGGAGGGGCAGAGGGGTTCCTTGCCTCCACTCACTTGCTTTAGGTTGTTACACTAAGGTGTGAAGGGACCCCAGTGGCTCACAGCTCTAAATACTTGCTCCCCAGTTGGTGGGCTAGTTTGAAGGTTGTGACAGGTGGAACCCACTAGGGATGGCTGTGGGGGGCCTGCTCCCACTTTTTTCTCAGGGTACTCTTGGGGAGTGAGGGATAAGAGATTTAGATAGAAATATAGATGGGAGAGAGATACAGAAACACAGAATACCCTCGGGAGATCCTGGATCCTTATCCACTGGCCCTTCTGGCTCTGCTAAAGGACTTTTTATAGGAATGCCAAGGGGTGGAGCAAAAGACCTCC